TTCCGATCTATATATATATATATATGTTGTTTTTGAAAGTTGCATGTTGAATTGGTATGGCCAGAGGATTGAAATTGTTAAAAGAGGTTGAGTTGTTTATAGTTGATGATGCATGTTTTTGATTTGGTTGTATTTGTTGTGTTTGCTCGCACAGAGTGTCCCTAGGGCTCACTCAAGCGAATTACTGCAATCATTTTCAGAAGTGATTTCTTACTTGACTCACTTAAAGCGTTCACTTAGTCGATCTAAGTGAATTTCTCACTCAATATGAGTACTCACTCACTTAAGTGAATTGACCTCACCTCCTAGGTGTAGTCTCTGTTTGAACTTGCTCAAAGCGAGCAATAGAGCACTTAAAGTGAATTTTGTTTGCTTGGAGAGCATTCATCAAGGCTTTAAGCGATGACCTCTTTTGAGAATCATGGTTTTTGAGTTATATTCTCTTTGTGTTGTGTTGAAGGATGTATGAGGCATTTTGTTGTGTAGTGACATGCATGAGATGTGTTGTTTGTGTAAGGTCGTATTATGATATGCATGAGACATGTTGTTATATTGAGTTATGTTGATAGATGCATGATGTTGAAATGAGTTGTAAACTCACGACTATGAGATAAGTGTTGTTTTAAAAGTTGAAATATCTCATTGTGTGGACATGTGTTGTGATTTATGATGAGAATATGGCAACCCTTAAATAGGAACTTATGACCTAACTTGTTTAAAACTTAGTCTGGACTAACCTGTTTAATAAAAATGTTAAATTTAGACTTCTAGAAAAACCTATTTATATAAAAGGTTAAGCTTAAAGATTATGAAAAAATATGTTAGGCTTGATAGTTCAACCTATTTTTTTATATAATATAATGAAAAAATTAATATACATATATTATAGTGTCGAGGCTCCTTTAAGTCTTCAATTGATACTATATGGAGGCAAGGTTGAGTCATATTAGTTTAGAAGTGGCCAATTTGAGTAAGGTATGAAGTTGATGGATAAAATCTTTTACTGATTATTGGAATGGTGTGTGGTATCATGAAGATAATTAGCAGATTATTCTCATATGTGACTTGATTAATGCATGTTAATGTCGTGGCGGACCTATGTTTAAGCTATGTTATTTTTTACGATGGATATTTAACTTTTTTAGTATAACTGATAAAATTCAAGAAATTATGTTGTGTTGAAATGGATCGATATTCAACTTTGTTGTTGATCTAGCAAGGCAAGAAGATCGTGTTGTTATTGGTTTAGTAGGATCAAATCAATTTAATTGCTTACCTATGTTGTAAGATATTTATTAGTTGAAATATGAGACAATGCATAAATTGTTATGTTGTTAATATGTTGTGTTGATAAGTTGTGTTACGAGTTTAAATGTTGCTATGTTATTAAGTAGTGACATTTACATGTTATTAAGTTGTATAATTGTGTTGATATGTTGACTAGTATTGTTAAGTTGAACTTTGATTGTTGTTGTGTTGATGAAGTTGTTTTTATAGCTAGCTCGTTGTTTATATATTATACGATGTTTTGTTGTAATAAATCTCACCCTAACTTTTTCTTATTGTTGAATTACAATTATCATATTATAAGAGTAAGGCAAGGACAACCAATGACTTTTATGTTTTGCAACCTGATATGTGTGTTTGTGGTTATGTGTGTATATGGGACTGGTTATAATCTCACTAAAGAATTTTATGTTTTTAGATGTTTATTCTTTACATGTGTATTATTGCATAAATATCAAATAATTGTTTACATGAAAATTTTAAGTATTTACATTAATATTTTTCGTTACTAATTGTTAGACTGTAATAAGTATAGAAACATGTTGAGTTATTACATATTTTATTTTACCCTGAGAGATATGATGGTGGGAAAAAAAATATACAGCAAAAGAATATAAATATCTAAAAATTATGAAAATCAAAGAAAGATATTCCCTATATATATATATATAATATAAAAGTATATATTTTAGAATAAATACATCTTAAATGATTTTTGTAACCAAGGTTTTTTTAGAGTTTTATTTGATGATAACATCTTTAGGAATTGTTATTAACCTTTTATTATTACAATTTATCTT